GCCCAAGGACCGGCCGGCAGCCGCCACCCCAGGCCGGGTTGGTCTCCAGGCCCCCGGGCACTGGGGCGGGCAAGCTGCAGGGGCAATGTGAGCCCCCGCCTCCGCCCCCCACAATTCCGGCTCTGGAAGCCGGCGGATCGCGCTGCCTGCTTCTTCCCCTCCCTCTGCCGCTGGCTCAGGGAGCCCCCCTTCCCAACCCCTCCCTTCACTTGGGGACTGGGCGGCCTCCCACCCCCTGAAGAGCTTCAGCCCCACATCAGCGACCTGGGGGCCCCCCATGCCTTTCCCCACAACCCAGACCCGCCCAGATAGAAACAGGGATGAGACCTGCCTCCCCCTCACCCCTCTGTCCCACGGGAGGGAGCTGCTCCCCCTTCCAGCCCCCTCAGCTGGCTCGGGGTGCGGCCCCAGAGCTTGGGCCCTGAGCTGCCCTTCCAGGCCGAGAGGCTGCAGCGCCCACCCTTCCGCCCTCCGTGCTCGCTCGGGGGAGAGGGTGCTGGGGAGAGTTTAGGGTGCTCTCTGCATCCAAGCAGCTTCCCGGCACAGTTGGTGCCCCTCCTTCTGACCCCCCCTCCAAATAATTCCTTCCGGTGGAAGAGGAGACTTGCCGGCTCATCCTGGCACTCGGAATGGCTGGGAAGGGGCAAGGTCAAGCCCCTGGTGAGGCATTGCCCTCCGGCTTCCTGCTGTGCCCGGAGGCTTCATGGCAAACTCCCTGCCAAAACGCATCCGATCCCTGGCTCCTGGTCCAGCAGACAGTCCTGCCTATAGCCCACCTTGCAGGACTGCAAACACCGTGGGTGTGAGTGGGGCTGAATATGCCAGCCTGACCTTCCTGGAATTGGTACGGAAATAAAATGAAGTTGGCATATTTTGCTACGATTTTAAAGCTCATGCCGATATTCCATAGTAACAACTGCCCAGTTTGCCTTTGTAATTAATGCAAGCCTCAGAGTTGTTCATTGCTTACTTCTTTTGTTTAACGCCTTTCGGCTACTTGGCCATGAACACACACCAGTTGAGCTTCTTCTTACACCGTTCTGGTCTTCTTGGAGCTTCCAGAAAGGCAGCTTCTATTTGGCCCGCTGAACAAACCGAGGAAGGGGCTGCCTAGTCTTTTCTCTGCTTTGATTCTGCCTTTGATTTTCCGGCAATGGTGTGTGTGGGGGGGGGTGCATAGCAGGTGAAAATGCTATGCTGAACGGCACTGCCCTCCCTGGGACTCCTGTCGCTCCCCGTTCCTCTTCGGCTCTTACCAGGTGGTGCCCCAAGTCTGTTCAAGGCACCTTCAGCCTCTCTGGCGGAAAGACTCCAGAGCCACTCGAGAGCAGAAATGTGGAACGAGCCGTGGGTCCCTCCATCGGCTGGAGGGCAGGGTAGACGAGCTTTAGGCACTCCAGCCCACCTCCCCCTCTGCCAGCCCAAAGCCAGGTCTGCTGGGGCTAGGGAGGGGTTTTGGGGGGAAGGTTCTTCCTTCCAGCCGCCCAATAACTGGGGTAGAAGCACAAGCCCCCTCCTCAGCACTTATGCCTTAGGCCAAGCCCTGGAAGAGAGCGGGGGGCTTGGAGGCCTTGAGGGGCTGGGCTGCCACGATGTGGGAGAATGTGCCTCCACAGTAAGAGCCCAGACTTGCAGCACGAATGACGTGAGAGCCGAAGGGTTTGCAGAATTAAGACGGAACATTTCCCAAAGAAGACATGAAACGAGGAAGCCTTGCCCGGCCTCAGAAGCAGGGGCAGCCTATTGACTTCTGCACTTCTCAACTGGAGATTCAGTTGGACGGCTGAGGAAGGGAAGGTTAAGCCAGCCAGGGGGGAGGGAGCTCTGATGCATGCACGTTTGCTCGCCCCTAGTCTAAGTTGCTGCTAGCCCTCCTGGTACCTATTTCTTCAGACAGCAGGCAGGGTTCCCTTGCAGCCACCCAGGTCCCCCAGGCCCTTCTTCTCAATCACTTTTCCAAGATGGACAAAAGAAGTCACAGAGTGGCCTCATTCTGCACTCTGCAATATTTCTCATGACAACAAGGGATGGCTGTGGAGATGGAGGAAGCCCCCAAATGATGACCCCACGTAGGTGGCATCCGGTAATTGGAAGCAGTTGGCTTCTAGCCTTCATCAGAGGTTAGGGCACAGGGACAGCTTGGGCTATCACTTCCTCCTCTTTGGTAGTCCTTCACATCATTTCACTTCGCGCTCAGCAAAGAGTGACACCCACACCCCCTTCATGCCTGCAGAGACTCCAGTGTCTCCCGTGGAAACTATTTTCCTTTCCAGATCCTGGCCGCTCGCTGACCCGTGTCTCAGAGGGCTGCCAATCTGAAAGCCACAAGATGTGAGGAGAGCATTTTAGCTCCTGGTGCTTTCTGGACACCGTGTCTGCTCCACAGGGAAAAAGGCCAAATGAGCTGGATGGCTGGAATGTTCACCAGATGCCTCCAAAGAAGCGTCTGCTCCTCCAAAGGCAGGGTCTCTGGGGGTCCTCTAAGCCAGGAAGGATTCATTCCCTCCAGATACATGGAGACTGTAATCTTACACAACTGGCAGAAGAAAAGGAGGCTTTCATTTGTTGGAAAAGCAGAGGAGACAGTTTAGATGAGAAGCTTTCCCTAGGGATCAAAGGCACTTGAGAACCACACCTGATGGACCAGGAATTTCCCTGGGTTTAAATTCCATCTGAATGATGAACACTTGCTGGTGCTGAGGGAGCCCCCTCAACCGCAGTTCCCCTTAGGGGAAAGCTAAGGGAAGAGTGGGGCATGAAGCAGCACATGAACTGAATGGAACGAAGGGCCCGCTTGGAGTTCCAGCCACTGCCACCAAGGACTGGCTCCATGGTACCCATTCACTTGATAGCCAAGGAACGTGGAACTTTCCATAGCTAGGCAAGTTGTTGTATTGATACCAGGTGCATTCTTGGGTCGTGGCTGGCATGTCTTGCATCAAGCAAGGGAGTCCACCCTCAAAATCCAGCCCTTCCAGTCTTGGGCCCTGGTATTATGGCACTATCAGAATGGGGCATCCAGGATGGAATCCGGCACAGAAACTCTCAAGAGATGCCTGCAGGGTGGTCTACCGTTCAAGGTGGAACCTCTCTTGGTCTTGAGCACCAAGTGTTTAGTTTTGCTATGGGGCAATTCATTCTTGACCCAGAGGGCTTGTGTTGCCTCTCCACCAGTGGAGATAAACCTGGGTAGGCGGGCCAAGGCAGCATTTCTCACCTCTTGGCTCTCTCGGCCATGGTTGCAGGACCCTGCTCTCTTGATGGAGCTCTACCCCACAGCATCTCTCCGCAGCAAATGTGCACTAGCAGTTATCTACCTTTGGGCTACACCATGTGGCAAGGATCAGTTCTTAGTGCCCAATATTCCACAAGGGCACTGCTTCATGCACGGAGGGCCTGGAGTAGTGAGTGCCAGACTGGAGAAGAAAAGAGAATGGAAGCTGGGGAGGGGGTAGGGGGCATGGGAAGCAATGGGCAGTGGCAAACGTGCCTGTCCCAGAGAGAGGGGAATGACAGCCAGGCTATGAAGAGGCGGCCACAGCGAGGGAGGCCGAGCCCCACTCTTCCAAGCACATGAGAGCAGCGGAGACCCTTGACGGAGACTTGAACTAAAGAGGCGGGGTCTGCTCTGCACTCACCTTTCTTCCGAACCACGTCTTCAGACTCTGGCTTGCGACTGACAGAGACCACTTTCATCACCAGATGGTTCCCCCCCTGGCGGATGAGTGAGACCACCTGCTTGTGCCCCACCTTCACCACGTTCACGCCGTTCACCTGTGCAGCAAGGAGAGGAGCGATGAGCAGAGGAATGGCACTATTAGGGTGGCTCCGTCATGAGCAGAGGGAAAGCTCCCCCCCGCGTGATCCCATGACTCCCTCCACTCCCTGCAGGCAACAGCTGGCCACAACAGCTGGCTGCCCCCCACAGGCAGGTACACTGTTCTGGTTTGTTTTCAGTCATTGAAAAACTTTAGCAAAGAATATTTAATACCAAAATAGCCCAAATAACCTTTCGCAAACATTACAAGAAATAACAGGAAGTGATTCAATGTTGCACCATCTCAGTTCAATAACTGGAAAAAAGAATTCAAGCATTTCCAAAATGTTTGAGGCCATCTTATCATTTCAAGCAACTGAAAACATCTCAACTTTTGTTTTCTCTTAGTTGAATTAATGACTTATTTATATACAGTTATTTAAGTTTTTATGATGTGCAAAAAAAGGAAAAAAGGCAAAAGGGAAAGAAAAAGAAAGATGTTGACAGTTCAGTCTCATGATTTATTTTCAGCAACAGGGTGGACGGATGGCTTGGTTGGGACGGATAGCGGGGCAGAGCGTGCCACCTGCACCCTCCTGGCTGCTGCAAACTAGCAGCCCCGTTTTCTGCCATGGAGAGAGGCAGAACCCACAGAAACCATAGTGCAGGCTCCAAGGTCAGCACCTACAGTTCTGAAGCCAAACTCCAGGAAAAATAGGGACTCTTGTAATTGGGTATCTCCTGGAGAAAATCTGTGTGGTCACAAAGAGTTGGCTTGATAGCACGTAATCATAATCAACTGGGCATTATTGTGATGCTCGCTGTAGTCCTTTTCCATCAACTTAATCTGCATCAATTTGTTTATTCATGCTCAAAACTAATTGTCTTACAAACATTTATTGAATTTTTCCATCATGCAACCCCCAGTGTCCCCACCACTTTACTCCCCGCAACCTCATGTTTTACAGATAGTATAATTTGTAAAATTATTTTACAACATGCATTTCTAAACCTTTATGTTTCTGAGATGGGACTGAGAGACCAGAATGGAATTTCAAAATTGTAACCATACAAAATGCACACTTTAAACCACACACTAGCTTAGGAGCTAAGGAGGAGGTCAATTCCGTATCAGGATTTACAAAGACTGCATCCTTCTCACCCTCTTCTCTGACATCCAGCCCCAGCTGCAGCTTCAAGTGTGCACCGTGGTGGAACCTCCTCTTGGCAGGCAAATGATGAAAGCCTTGGAGAACTACTAGAAGGCATGGAAGGGAACCAGAAGATCCCTTCCTACACTTCTAGGTCAACAGCTTCAGTGTTGTTGTTAATAAGATGGACAGCAATTCTGTCCTTCGCTCTTCAGGAGATATTTTGTGGGAAGAAAGTAGACCAGAGTAATGGAAGGTTAGGGGAGGAATATTCTCTAGATGGTTCAGAAGTTCCACCAATGAAGCATTCTGACCACCTCACTAGTGAGCCAATAATTCCTTAGTTCATTGCTCAGAAGAACCCGCCACGATCCTATCTGTGGCCTGATGGATATTGTCTGCCCTCGATAGTTGCGCCTGCTTTCTACCATGAGGGCAGATGTTTGTTTATTTAGAAATTTTATATGGCTACTCATCTTCAGTATATAACCCTGAGCATCTAACAACAATCCACAAAACACATAACCCCCCTTCAAAACAGAAATACAAAAAAAAATTAAAAACAACAACATAGAAAATTAATGTAGCACATAGCAAATGCCCAACACAACTGGACCTCTATTGGGATCGACAAAAACCCCAGCTCAGCGCCTGGGGGAAGAGCCCGGTCTTGTCCCAAAGGCCAAGAGAATTGGGGCCCTCCAGATCTTGGGGGGAGGCTGTTCTATAGGGTAGGTGCTGCGACAGAGAAAGCACATCTCCTAGGTCCCACCAGATGACACTGGAACATGCCCATCCGGTGGGATGTTTAATCCAATTAGGAAAATTTAGTAGATCCCAACCTCAGCAAGGGATCCCCGATGGGTTCCTCTGTCTGGTACATTTCTGCTGTTCAATTAGTTGCATGAAATACTTCCCTCCATGCCCACCCCACCGGGACATGCCTTACCCTCTGTACAGGATGACCATAACAGTGTTCCTTCTATTCAAGGGCTGACTTCTTGCGTAATGAGGACAAACTCTAGAATATGGGCCTCTGGGGGAAACTGGGAGCAATTTTCCAAAATGCCTGACTGGAGTTCTGCATTGCTGAGGGAAGCTTTCATCCCACATCTCAGTCTCTTCACAGCAAAGACAAAGCCCCCCTTTAAAAAGGATCATAAAGGAGCCCTGAAGGCGCACCCCAAGTTCAAGGCTCAAGTAGTATCTCTTAAATCCCCTTTCCCTCCAAGACATCCGCCACAGGGTCCTATCCCAGCTGCTGTTCTCCAGATTTGTTGGAGTAAAATTTTCATGACTTTGGGTATCACTGACCTAAGTTGGAATCCAAGAAACCTGAAATGGACCAGGCAAAATTCAGGCTCTCATCCTACAGGCCCCAGGGACATAATAAATCTTATGCAGAAAAACATATATGGAATGACCTTTCTTACTTTAAAGTCACTCCTACAAAGTCGTTTGTCAAACTACAAGTAAGTTGTGGAAAATTTCAACCTCCAGGGCTGGAGAGAGCACGCGACAGGATGAGACAATTGCCTCAACCTGCTGATCTGAAGTGTCTCAGAAGGCAGAAGATGACATGTCTGCGTATCCTTCTATCTCGCTCACAGTGGGATTGATTGTCTCAGCTCAGGTCCGTGGACTGCAGAGAGGTACTATTTCCTGTTCCACCTTAGGCAGCAAGACAATTCTGGCCAGGCCTTACCGGCGATTAGGAAAAGATCTGGACGGTCTGCCTCAGAAGAGAAAGTGTCAGTGATAAGCTATATCACAGCAATGCCAAAAACACACCCAAAGCTATGGCAAAATCAGATGTCAACTCTGACCCACTTTCCTCTGGCAACACCATTACAGGACAGACCCCCACAACAGCTGAGGATTCTGCATCTCTGGGGGGGAAGGTTGCATCCTTAACCAAGAGAAGTCCACCTGGCCAGTCCTTGTGTAGGAGAAATGGAAACAAATCTGACATTAGACATGGCAACAGCCAAATCCAGTGGGGGAACACTTCAGCATCCAGGACATTATGCCACGGACCTTGTTGCTGAACAGAAGAGTTACTACAAAGACTAATTTCATCACAAAGTTGGAATTTATTAGGTTTAATTCTCAGAATTCACACTGAGAATTCACAGGGCTTTACCATACTTCCTGTGCTAATCGGCCACCCATGCAAGGATCCTGTAATTCTTCCTACCAGCTTATCTCCCCAGTTCCAGCCATGGGGGCACAGGTACTGTAATACTTCTCTCTCAGCTCTCCTCCACTGACCTTAGGAAGCAAACTGTAGCTCATGAAACCTCATGCCACCATAAATATGGTCCTCCCTGATGTTTCCTCGTGGGCTTCTAGTATGTCATTCCCGTGAGACTCCTTTTGAAGGCTTCACCTGAATTTGTCATTGTTGGGGGAGAAAGTGCTTCAGTGGAGAGACTTCAAGTGCCTTTGTGGGTAAAGGCCTCCAAATTAGAGGCCAGTAATCAGTCTCTGACTCACAGACTCCACATTCATAAAGAGAACTGTGTTTTCAAAGAATATTAGTCAATGATTCGATGCAGAGGGGAAATGAGGAGGAGGAGGGGGAGGAGGAGGAGGAGGAAGTGATCAATGATTTACTGAAGAAACAAGATGCATGTGGAGAAGGACAAGGATCAGCATGGCAACCTGACCCAAAATGCCATTTCAGAACAGGATCTAATCCTAGAATCAAGATTTTCCCTCAGGTGGAAGAGGACAGCACAGTCCCGCTCACCCAGATGATGGCTGGTGGCTACACACAGAGGCTAAAACCAGTCAGTGGCTCCTGAAGAGCAGAGAGCGGGTGATGCCTCCAGCAAGCAAGCCGAGGCCCCTGTGGACCAAGCCTCCCTCCCTTTTTGGACGGACCTGGGCCAGGGGGAAGGGGGGACAGAGAACCTGGGCAACAAGGAAGAGGGCTCAGGACGCGGCTCCCCCGGTTGCTCCAGGAGCAGCCGATGCTTGGGCAGCTGAGCCTGTCTGCCAGATCAGGGGAGCAGGTGGGGAGCAGTGGGCACAGAGACAGATTCCCAGGGCAGAATCGGCCCCCTGAATCGGGAACTCCTCGGAGTGCTGGCCTGCTGCAAGTGCTCTGCCCAGCGATCCCTCCACCATGCCCCTTCCGGGTTTTGGACCTGCCCTGGCAGGGAGCTGCGCCCTGTCCGCCACGGAGCCCAGCTGTCACGCGCAGGGCTCCCTGCAACATGGACCCAGGGCCGGCCGGCCTTTCCTTGGCTGGCCAATCTCCTTCCCTGCATCTGGGAGAAGACCCGCGCACACGGGCTTTGCTCAGCGGCCGCGGGGTAACTACAGGGGCAGCTTTCATTAAGTTGTCATTTTTTGTTTGGACTTATTTTACCCTCCAGCGGCTCGGTACCATCTGCCTGCGACGCTCAGCAGGCCTCGTCTCCATCTTGCATTTCTCTTGTGGAAGGAAGCTCAAATGATTTACTTGAGACGGAGGTGCCACCGTAACATGTTGGCAATACCTGTGGGGGTCCCACAAAGCTGAGGACGTAGTGACAGGATCTCTGGCTCCTGGGAGAGATGCTGTCCCAATGGTGTGTCCCCCTTGCCCTACGGAGCCCTTGGGGGCACTGCTCAACAGGAGCCTGGGGGCTGGGAGTCATAAACATAGTCCGTAACAGAGGTGCTGCGGATGTGCAGTTGGCTACCTACGGCCTGGAACAGCGGCTTCGGCGCTTCAGCTGGACAGACCCGGGTCTTTCCCCCAGCAGAGAGACGGTGCTGGGGCTTATGACGCCCTGACAGCCACCATAAGAAGGCAGCAATGAAGCTGAAACTGTCCACAGCCCTGAGAGGACATTGGCCCTGGAGTTCTGCGAAGA